TGGTAGCCAGTCTTGTCCACGGCCTACAACATTTCAAATATGAGCGCTTGTGTTTTGTGCCAACGAATCCGATAATTATGCTGCTGATCATTCTTGTTTAATTACAACATACCATTTGAAGATGGTCCCAAAGGTCTGTGTACACTGTGTTTTTGAATTTGAAATGATCCAGATAGGTCTGTTAAAAAAACAAATTTGTTGTGAATGTACAAAAACATTCTCTAGATCAAAAACATATTACATTTTTATTGTATCATGGCACACTAAGGAAAAGCATACAAAGGGAGCTTACTTGGAGGCCTTGAGTAAACACTGGCTCAGTCAGAAAATCAGATAGCATCCTAATTACTGATGCACCCTAGAGGAAGAGACTGCATGTTATCAGACAAACCACATGTAATCAGCATGTTCTTGATTATGAAACATTACAGTCAACTTAGCAAACAGTTCCCACGCTACCTTACTGTAGGAGATGGTATCGAACACTTCACTAATTTGCTCCGGTCGTTGGATCTCCTCTTCTTTAGATGACAAAGGGTGAGACGAGGCCAGTGCATCTATGGCGAAAACTCGGTGCACATCATTAAGAACGATCAGATCTTTCTGTGGGATAGAAATAGAGTCAGTTATGATTTCATGCTCTTGGTGATAGCTTTTAGCATCTGGCATTATTGCCCTGGCTTTAGCTTCAAACACTCACAATGTTCCAATTCGGCTCAGCTTCATCCGCCCCAAGATATTCTACGTAAGATGCAAAACCTTCATTGAGCCACAGGTCATTCCACCACCTGATAGTCACAAGGTTTCCAAACCACTAAAAAGAAACAGGAAGATGGCGAAAAGTAAACTTTACATTCTGTAAATCATTTTCCATTTAGAGATTCAAATTGGAAAAAAAGGACTCCTGATCATACCTGATGGGCAAGTTCGTGGGCAATAATAGTAGCAATCCTCTCTTTGTTTCCATTTGAGGATATTTTATCATCGTACAGCAGGGCCGTCTCTCTGTATGTGATTAAGCCCCAGTTTTCCATTGCACCGGCATTGAAGTCCGGCAGGGCGATTTGATCTGTGCAACATTTTGAGGAATGAGTTAAACTTCTAAAAACCGTCTAAAAAGTAGTAACGTAATCTTAAACTGTCATTTCAATAAAAAAACTATTTCATTGCCTCATAAAATATAGGTCATAAAACAATAAACAAACTAAATAAACCTTTTTTTTCATAATTTCTTGCTCATAGGCTCTTACCTGATTTGGGCAGCGGATAGGAGACATTGTAATACTTCTCAAAGAATCTGAGAATCAGTCCTGTCTTATTGAGTGCATACACTCCTTGTCCTGCAGCTATGGCTTCTCGGCGGCCAAAAATTCGAATCTGTTTGTATAAACGACAGTATGGATTTTTTTAGTAAATTAATCATCTTGGTGGGCAAGATAACATAGTTTTCTCTGTAGACCTTGTGAAAAGACAATTACCTGCAGATCTTTATCTATTTGTTCAATGAAGGTGAATTCGCTGACAATAAATGCCAACAAATATGTTGACATTACTTCTGTGGCTGCAAATGTTGTTTTGGTTAAAAGAGTGCCGTCCACTGTGATCTGAACCTCGTCTGAAAGTCAAAAAGAGATATTGACTGATCAAACTCAGTCAGATGGATTTTCATCAAATTTTCTTGAAATCGGTTTGAATGAACAGAGGAAACTAATTAATCACACTTCTCTATAGTACAGTTAATAGTTTTTATAGTTACAACATTATGGACCCATACATAGAATAGGAACGTCTGATTAATTTTAGTGAATCAATTTATCCTGAACTTTCCTCTCACTTTTTTAAAGCAGTGACTTCACTGTAGTTTAACTTTTTCAAATTCTAAATAACTTGTAGCTTGGCAAGCAGCATTTTTAAAGCAGCCTCCCCAACAATACAGAATAAAGTGTTCATTTACCTATCACAACACCATTGGAGAGGGCTCTGGTTGCTGGATCATGGAGAATAGTGATGTGGAATACTGCTTTCATTGCAGGTTCATCAAAGCAAGGGAACGCCTTCCTGGCATCTGTTGCCTGCATCTGGGTTGTTGCGACCACTCTGAAGAACAACAAAGAGATTTAACTATATACGAAACGTCTTTCAGAACAGAATGAATAGATAGGACAGATCAACTTCTTACTTCCTCACTCCATTCTCGTCATCGTATTCACTTCGGTAGAAGCCGCCCAAGTCATCCGCAAGCTCACCCACAAATTCTGTGTAGAGCTCATATCTTTCCCCAGCAGTTAAACTTTCTTTCAGCTTAATCACCATATACTGTGTTTTTTCGTACATCACTATTGAGTCAATGGAAGGAGCTGGCTGGCTTCCAAGTGCTTTCAAGGTGACTGGCTTTGTCATGTTCAGCTTGTTGGAGTGAATGAGGACGAGGTCTGTCTTTTCCACACATCTGAAGATCACGCTGGACATCCCTGTGAAGATGAAGAGTCCGGATGTTGGATCCAGCTTGAGCCGTGGCCACAGAGTCACATTGTAGGTTAGTGGACTTAGAGTTTGAGGAAGGCGCCACTGGTCCCATGGTTCATTGGATGGTGCCGTTGTTGGTGGAACTGATGTTGCTACTTCAGCTGTGGGTTTAACTTCATTGTTCTTGGACTTCTCTTGGGAGTAGACCACAGAGAGGGCAATGATTGTGGCTACTGCTGCAGCTCCTACCACAATCAGTACTATCCCGACAGTTTTACTGATGTGGAAACCCTTTCCCATGCTTGATGAATGACAGGATGAGAGGAGTGAAACTGACATCTGCACAACTTTTTTTATTTAAAGAACGGGGAAGTCTCTCCTCCCACATGAATGAATGGTTCATCCATTAACAGCGTGTACAAGAGGGCGTTTGAAATATCAGAGGGTTTTAGAAAGTCATTGATGCCTGATGTGTTATCAAAATGTTGCTGTTACTCACTGTTCTATACTTTTTCAGTGATGTGATAACATTCTAATGGTTAAAAATAATTTTATATTGTAAATATATTTAGCAAATTACCCAAACCGTTCAAAATTACCCCAAATATATTACAAAAGAGACAAGCAAAACATTTAAAACACTGGAATAAAGGAATAAAATATTTTATATATTTCTACAATGCAACTATATAAAAAAAAATGCTTTTTTAATAATATGGAAAAATTGGTAGAAAAAATATGGAAAAACAAATCACTAAAATACATTCAAAATACATTTATATAAATATATTTTCTTGATATATGATATAAAAGCATCAAAAACATAAATAAATTGTATATTAAACATATATTATAGATTTAAAGAAAATATATGTGCAGACCACTTGTGAAATCTGTTGTTTCTTTTGATATTAAATCAGATGTCCCACACAGAATCACACATTATACTGTTAAGGCTGGTCATAGTGAACCAAGCATCTAAGTGCACTGTTGTAAATCCATTAAAGCTGAATTTAATTTGCTGACATGAACCTGCACTTCACACAAAAAAGACAGTGTCCTCAGAATCATCTGTACACGGGCTTGTGTAACTGCTGGTACAGACACTTAATTGCTGGTGTAACTGTTAAAGAATAACTACATGTCACTGCAATACAACTATACTGTTTAAGTGGAAAAAATACAGTTTAACTTTAGTTTAGTTAAATTAACTTATGTTTACAGGAGCAAAGGACGGGATTAGTAACAAATGAACTTATAAAAATACCTCCTTCAGTGGTCGTCAGCCTGGACTTTAAACTGCACTTCCCCAAAACTGTCAAATAAAATATGAATTTGGCCTTTGGAATACATGTTTTTTTATGGTGGAACATTGTTCCAGGGATGGTGTTATTATTAAGATTAGTATCTCAGAAAATATAGCCAATAACACTAGTTGGACTTTTATTTGTAAATGCATGGGTGTAATGATTATCAGTCTTTATGATATCTCCCCATCATATTAACTTGCATCAGCTATAAATGAGGTATTCAACAAAGTCAGGAGACTCCATAAAACTCACCTTAGCAATGATCTCAAAGCTTTGTTATCTAATTTTATTTGCCATGTCATAAATTACATAGTTTTTAAATTTTAAAAAGTCTTAATTTTGTAATTTCTTAAATGCAATAAATATTTCATTTATTGCGTGAAATATTTGTATCATTTAATCAGAAGGCTCGCAGTACCTCAGCAGTGAATTCCCCATTCTCTGATAATCTTTTTTATATTTTATTTTTTATTGATAAACATGAAATCTAGACTTGCTTTTAAACATTCTGCATTTCCAAAGAAAACTTGTGCATTAGTCAGACTGAGTTGATGACTTCAGATATCATCTGATGGCTCTTGACCTTTGATAGACAACTGCCTTCAAAGATAACTGTACATGAAACCAGAGATTTCTAGATATGCTATCATTTGTTTTTTGGCTGTATGATGCAAATGCTATCTTTGAACTCATTTTAAGTTTGACCACACCTTTAAGGACCTCAGTTTCCAATGCAATAAAGTTGATTTTATAACACTGCAAACTCATGGTGAAACCATCAACACAACCATGATTTGTCAAAATAATGCTGACCTTCTGTCATACATGAAACACACCTTGCCCCATGATTGTTATATTTTTAGAGACAATGACCAAATTTTATTCTACGTTTAGAACTGGTGACACTGCTGATACGTTCTGTAATGTACATTCCGTAAATCAAATAGAACCTCTCAATAATAGTAAAAAAGAGCCCATTTTTGAGAAAAACGAGACCTGAATCTGGACAAAAACATAATTTTAATGATATAGTATACTATAACATTCAATATAAATTATTCATGTGTAACATTCATAGTTTTAGTAGTTAGTCTGTTGGCAAAAATCACACGTTAGTATTGTGGAATGTTGCTACATTACAGAAAAATACAAAACAACACTATAATCAATATTCGAACACCGGTTTGTCTACAAACCAATGTCTGAAATGAAAGGTACAGTGTAAATGATTGGACCCTGTAGTGTGCTTTGGACTTGTAAGAGTCCTCATGTGACAGTCAGTCATGGAGTCCATAAATGGCATTAGGGAGACAGCATCTATGGCTATGAATGTCAACACACAATGACAACGATAAAACACAAAGATCAGACATGCAAACTCAAAACGGGGAGAGACTGGGCACTTTTATATTGATGTCCCCGATATTGATGTTACGGGGTATTTCAGGAAGGTTCATATTTTTCACAGCAGAAACAGCTCGTGCCGGTGCTGCAGACAGACCACCCTGCCAAAAAAAAACAAAAAATTACTTTATCACTTTTATTTAGTGCAGATTAACAGATCTGTGTATAATATTTATACTTTTATTTTTAAAAACATGTATTATCAAGAAAGATCTATAGGCTACTCTTTAGTTTATAAATTAAGTAAATTTATTATCAATCTTATGTCAGATTCTGAATGTTAACTAATAATCGAAACATTTATTTTAGGGCTGTCAAATGATTAATCACGATTAATCACATCCAAAATAAAAGTTTTTTTTACATAATATATGTGGGTGCACTTTGTATAATTATTTTGTATATATATATATAAATACACACATGCATGTATATTTAAGAAAAAAATATTATTTATATATAAAATATTTATATTTATATATAATATAAATTATATATAAATCTATAATCAGTATATACATGAAAATATTTCTTAAATATATACAAGCATGTGTGTGTATTTATATATATAAAATAATTATACACAGTGCACCCACATATATTATGTAAAAAAAACTTTTATTTTGGATGTGATTAATCACGATTAATCATTTGACAGCCCTAATTTATTTATAACCTCAAAAATCGAATTCTTTCTTTAACTATCACACTGCAAATAATCAGCATTAAATTGAAGCCCAAACTTGGCCCATAAACAAAATCGTGTGACCCAATACAATCAGTCCATTGGAAATTTTAAAGGGTTAGTTCATGTCGTTCCAAAATCCGTAAGACTTTCGTTCATCTTCAGAACACAAATGAAGATGTAGGTATTTGATTACCATTGTTGGTATTAGTATAATTGTTACCTAAGTTCATATATGGTGTGTATTTAGGATATGTTGTGTTTTGTTTTTGTTTTTTTGGTATTGTTTTGCTTTTTTGGTGGGGGAGAAGGGGTTCCCCTTCTTCCTTTCTCATGTTTCTTATATGTATTTATAAAAGAAATTGTAATTGAGTGTTATGACAATGTTTAAGGAAGCAGCTACTTTTGTTTTGTTTTTGTTTTTCCTGTTAATGGTAACCGGGGTGGGTTCAAATAAGTTTGACTTCTACCCACTCCTTTTCGAGCAATAGATGAAATTATTTGTTAAAGTTTGATGAAAGTATGATGAATTTAAAGGCTTTTATAGGTTAATCAAAATGCTTCTTATTGCCTTTGTCATGTGCAATTATATATTGCTCGAAATAAAAAAATAAAAAAATATCTTTTTGATGAAATCTGAGAGTTATCCGTCCCTCCGTTGACAGTTATGCAACTACCACTTTTACTCTTCAAAAAGTTCATAAAGAGATCGTAAAACTAATCCATACGAATTGAGTGTATGCATTTTAGTCCGAATTTTTCCGAAGAGACACGATCGCTTTACATGATGAACAGATTTAATGTAGGCTTTTATTCACATATAAACATTGATCATCTCACACATCAGTTGTGGCTCAAGCTCAAGCATGTTCGCTTGTCGTGCGAGAACCAATGCGGTTCATCCTTGTGTTACGCCGCACGTTTGAGCTTCTGCAAGAGGATTGTTCTCACGCGTCAAGATGGCTCAGTTGAGCTTCTGTTTATGTCCGCTGGTCAATATTTAAACGTGATTAAAAGCATTAAAATAACATTTTAACTTAACCACTCAATTTATATGGATTAGTTTTACAATCTCTCTATGAAGTTTTTGAAGCATCAGTGTCAGTTACATTGCTGTCAATGGATGGACAAAAAGATCTTAATTTGTGTTCCGAAGATGAACGAAAGTCTTACGGGTTTGGAAAATGTCTTTCCAAACCCGTCATGCAATTAATTAATGGAGGGAGCAATTAATGACAGAATTTTCATTTTTAAGGTGAACTATCCCTATAGAGCAAAACCCAGCACAATACAATATATAATACAAAGAAAATAAACAAATACTTTTATTATAATATATGTAACATTTTATTTAGAAATAGTAATTTTTTTTCTTTTTCAGAAATTTCAAACACTAACCAGAAGTTAAACAAGAGAACCTGACCCAGCTTGACAGACCATTTTCAGGTCAAAGTACATAGGGGAAGTCATGAAGTGCCACATCACGTTTCTAGTGTCTTTACCTAAACATCATGTATGGATGTTCCTTTGTTCTCTGCCATGTGCGCTTTATTGTCTTGTGTAACATTTCCTCATTTTAACCTCTTCTATGTATACATAAGAGAGTGCATCAAGTGTTGTCAAACATTAGTGATCGCCTCGATCCCAGATAGGATATCAGGTGACCATGAATCACTGGTATCTGCTGAGACATCTTTCACTATTACATGATATCATTTTAGTTCGTTCACATGATGTACTGTTACGGCCAAAATCGTTTCGGGAAAAACAAAGTGATACTAAACAAGACGAAATGTCTTTTGAGATATCATTCATATTTATAGCGTTTCACAAACATTCCAAAGGCTCTGTGTAAAACATGCAGTAAAAAACTAAATGAATGTGTACAACACATACTATTCAACAATATGATTTATCTGACTGTACTAGCCCTGTTGTATTAGAACTGAACTGAGCTGGACAATGACATCATGTTTTGCAGAACTCCTTTATAGATGAAATTAACAAGTAGTTTAATAATTGATGATCTTTACAACGGAACTGAATCAACACTGAACAGACTTCAGCTGAACAACATTATTTGTCTGTTATCACTGTAAAGCTGCTTTGAAACAATCTGCATTGTATAAAGCGCTATATAAATAAAGGTGACTCGAATACGATTTAACCTGAATTTTTTTTTCTTTTACATTTTTGTTAAAAATTAGCATATAGTATGCGTATGCGTCACATTAAACTGTTTAAAATACTCTTTCCTGTTCCAGTTGAGGCAAAGATGTAGCATGAACTTATGTCAGCTGAACTGGAGTGACTTCAGGTAATGTAAATGTGAACTCACCTCCGATTTCTCCATTCTATTCTGCAGCTCCACTTGGGCGACTATTTCATTCATGTTAGTTTCCAGAACCATCCCGCCCATGACAACTTCCTGGAGAATGTAATGGACCTGAAAAAAAAAAAAAAAAAACTTAAACCTACAAGACTATGAGAATCTGGTTTTGCCTTTTTTTCATTAGTTAAAGGGTTAGTTCACCCAAAAATGAAACTTCGACTTTATTCAGCATTGTATTGTCTTCCGGGTCTGTTATCAATCCGCGTTCAGTGACGCTGCTGACGTGTTATCAGTGCGCCCGAGCTTCGTTTACAGTCTGAGGGAGACGCACGCTGTAAACAAAACAATCTTCGCAAACATGTCTAAGGATTTCGACACAGAGGAAGACTTGCATTTTTTTGCCCAGCCATATTTATTTGAACCCGAATACACGGACACACCAGATAACACGTCAGCAGCGTCACTGAATGCGGCTTGACAACAGAACCCGAAGACAATACAATGCTGAATAAAGTCGTAGTTTTTGTTATTTTTGGACCAAAATGTATTTTCGATGCTTCAAAAAATTCTAACTAACCCACTGATGTCACATGGACTACTTTGATGAAGTCTTTATTTCCTTTCTGGACAAGGGCAGTATACCGTGTATATATTTTCAATGGAGGGACAGAAAGCTCTCGGACTAAATCTAAAATATCTTAAACTGTGTTCCGAAGATGGCTTGGAACGACATGAGGGTGAGTCATTAATGACATAATTTTCATTTTTGGGTGAACTAACCCTTTAATACAATAATGACGTATGAATAAACAGCTAGGCTAGACCACCCTATTCAACAACGCTCAGTCCGAGACCTTCGCAGCCTTCGAAGGATGCAGCCTCTGAAATGGGACACTGCTTATGTTTTTGATAATTTAAAAGAACCAGTTCGTAAAAGTCACTTGTTGGAGAATCGAAATACACTGGTCCGATTTCATTCACTAAAAGAACTGGTTCATAAGAATCATTTTATTTGGTCACACTGTGAGTGAGTTCGACTGATCGATATACACTCATCTAAAGGATTATTAGGAACACCTGTTCAATTTCTCATTGATGCAATTATCTAATCAACCAATCACATGGCAGTTGCTTCAATGCATTTAGGGGTGTGGTCCTGGTCAAGACAATCTCCTGAACTCCAAACTGAATGTCAGAATGGGAAAGAAAGGTGATTTAAGCTATTTTGAGCGTGGCATGGTTGTTGGTGCCAGACGGGCCGGTCTGAGTATTTCACAATCTGCTCAGTTACTGGGATTTTCACGCACAACCATTTCTAGGGTTTACAAAGAATGGTGTGAAAAGGGAAAAACATCCAGTATGTGGCAGTCCTGTGGGCGAAAATGCCTTGTTGATGCTAGAGGTCAGAGGAGAATGGGCCGACTGATTCAAGCTGATAGAAGAGCAACTTTGACTGAAATAACCACTCGTTACAACTGAGGTATGCAGCAAAGCATTTGTGAAGCCACAACACACACAACCTTGAGGCGATGGGCTACAACAGCAGAAGACCCCACCGGGTACCACTCATCTCCACTACAAATAGGAAAAAGAGGCTACAATTTGCAAGAGCTCACCAAAATTGGACAGTTGAAGACTGGAAAAATGTTGCCTGGTCTGATGAGTCTCGATTTCTGTTGAGACATTCAGATGGTAGAGTCAGAATTTGGCGTAAACAGAATGAGAACATGGATCCATCATGCCTTGTTACCACTGTGCAGGCTGGTGGTGGTGGTGTAATGGTGTGGGGGATGTTTTCTTGGCACTCTTTAGGCCCCTTAGTGCCAATTGGGCATCATTTAAATGCCATGGCCTACCTGAGCATTGTTTCTGACCATGTCCATCCCTTTATGGCCACCATGTACCCATCCTCTGATGGCTACTTCCAGCAGAATAATGCACCATGTCACAAAGCTCGAATCATTTCAAATTGGTTTCTTGAACATGACAATGAGTTCACTGTACTAAAATGGCCCCCACAGTCACCAGATCTCAACCCAATAGAGCATCTTTGGGATGTGGTGGAACGGCAGCTTCGTGCCCTGGATGTGCATCCCACAAATCTCCATCAACTGCAAGATGCTATCCTATCAATATGGGCCAACATTTCTAAAGAATGCTTTCAGCACCTTGTTGAATCAATGCCACATAGAATTAAGGCAGTTCTGAAGGCGAAAGCGGGTCAAACACACTATTAGTGTTCCTAATAATCCTTTAGGTGAGTGTATGACATCAAAGTACCATGAGAGCGATTTGAAAGACGATCACACCTATTATTGTGTAGTATGGCTTTTATAATCTAATCATTCAATTTGGACTGTAAACTTTACTTATTTAAAATCACAACCCTAAAAATACACACAAGCACAGGACTACTGATGCGCATTATTAAACATGTTGCATATAACAAATCCATCAAGTTACCGTAAAGCCATACATTATCATTTCCCAGTAATTCCTTTCACTCATAAAACAATATTACTGATTAGATAACTGATGAAGCCAGCGTAGTGCACACTTCTATCATGAACGTATTTTACAGTGCTGCCATAAACCAACAGGACATTATCAGAAAGTAAATCCTGACCAACATATAACATTTCCCTTACACGACGGATCAAATTATGATCACCCCCATTTATTCATGCCCAAATAAATATTTAACCAAAGAACACTTTTTAGATAGCCTAACCAAGGAGGTAAAAAGTTGCATGAGTCATTATGAAGTGAACATCATACACCTGAAAACTGACCTTATCCATGTGAAAGATTAAGTCCAGTTCACACACATTCTCAAAGCACTTGTCCAGGGTTTCCACAAAGACCTGCATTATAAGATTATGTACAATAGTGAATAACAACATGTTCTTTCATAGAGATTTCTAAAAGACTTTGTGTAACACAATACAAAAAGGAGCGAATCAACCACTCATGCAACAAAGTACTGTGGCAGTACCATGGTATCGGATGGCAGCATTATATACTGAATAACTGGTATTTAAATTGTACTTAAAGGTAATATTAGTATTGTTCAGTGAGCATTAATGCATCCTGATATTTCAATGAACAATTGCATTAAAACAAGGGTTGTAAACTTTGCCTTGTCTTTATATATGCCTTCAAAAAACATATGTGGGCAATATGAAAAAGATAGTACCCCCTTGTGGCTGTAAACCAGTACTACAACATGAGAATGGCAGTATGTTCACCTGTATGAGATCTAGAATCCCCAGCTCACTCTCTGATGAGTCCACACAAAACACAAAGTACAGAGTGGCATAGTGTCTGTAGATCAGCTTGTAGTCAGAGCCGCCGATCAAACTAAGCAAAAGGATGAGCGAAACTACAGTAAATAACCTTTGAGAGCATCCATCTTTATACAGTCATGGATACTGAAATATAGATAAAAATCATATCAGCAAGCCCTTATGTGTAAGTTATTATGTAAAACCCCCTTCTGTCACCTTCCACCCTCCAGGAAATTGCAGACATTATCATCTCTTTTGGACACCAGATGAAAGGTCTCCCGGATGATCTGTTGCTGCATGTCTTCTGCCTGTGAAAGAAACATGATCAAACTGATTACAAATTAGTTTTATCCTGGCTTTTCACATAAACTCATCATTACTAAAAAAATATACATAGGAAAAAAGCAAACACTAGTAGTATAGACCACAAAAAAATGGTTTAGTATTATATAAATTACGATTATGAACATATGATATAGTAATAGATTCTTACATTCATAAAGTGGAGATTATAGAGGCTACATATAATAAAGCATTACAAATTAGGAACTGACTGTCCAGTAAGACCTTGAAGCTGGAAAAACAATCAGATACGAAAACAAATATTCCTTACCACGAAACATATTTGACACACATCATTTATCTGAAGCTAATACTGCATGGTTAACTACGAAACATTTAATAAATATCAATTAATTAAATTAATCTGCTGATAGTGTCTCAGGTCTCAATGAATGATAACAAATGGCATTAGTTGGCTTGGCAAATGCAGTTTCAGTGTCTTTATGCGCTTATCTTACAAAATATTGGTAGAATCTGATGAGCCTGGGTTTCCCATGGTTGTTAAAAATAAGAATAGCCTTGATCATCCTTGTTTTTTTGTTTATTTTTATGTGGTTACTCGTTTTTAGCGAAGCTTCTGCTTGTTAATAAAATGACTCTGAGTACTTCCGTGTCATGTGACTTAGTTTTTTCCATTATAAAAGTCCTTGGAATTAAAACTCCAGACTGGAAAAGTAGATTGTTTCTTCACTTTACCGCTAATCTTATCTACCAATGCCAATATCATCATATATATCTGGTAGATATGATGACATTGGTAGATGAGCTAAGTGGCATTCTTTCATCTTTACTTTGTATATTATAATACTTATATTTAGTTAGCGTTATTTGCTAATATTCATATAAAAACCAATCGTACATATGATCCCATTATACTTTAAAAACTATAACTATCATGGTTCATGGTCATTTAAAACGATTTTATGTAATTTAATCTTCCGTTAATAAATGTCCACCTACGTACAATAAACTCAAATTGAATTATGATCTGAGTACCTTTATTTTGACACGCTCACGGACCGCAACGTGACCCGGAAGTCCTGCATTTCTTCTTGTCGCATCACCCGTGTGTCGTGTCTGTCAGCTATCTGCTACTTACCTAAACAGCCCAAATTAAAATATGAAGCATTTGACAGGAGAGTGACATTAAACACACTGCATGCGGAATGAGACGGTATTCATGAGCTTGCTTACTACGGTAAAAAGAGTGTTTTGGAAACGCTGCTGTTTACATCTCTACAAACTGATATTTGTATTGTGAAAAGAAGCTTTGTATTTTTTTGGTAAGTGCATCCTCGTGAGCTTTCTTTATATTTGTCAAGAATGCTTTAATAGCTAACACCGATTTTGTGTTCTAATTTTCTTGTGGTCATTCAAGTGCATGTGTAATTAAGCCACATTGTAATTAGTGTAATATTTATATATTTATTGTAGGAAGGTGGGTCTGCTTTTAAGAAAAACATCTAGGCTAAATGTAAAGAGTTAGAAAACACATGTTACATTGTAAACAACAAACAATGGTGTTGTTTGTGTCTGGTCACTCTTCTTAACTGACCTACATTACCCTAGTACTGACTCTTAAGGTGTTAGAAACCATAATAATGCACACAGATACGAATTTGTGATTTGTACCAGCATGCAATTGTATGTTAACCTCCATTATGGTGTATTTTTAAATTATAAACCCTCTAGTAATGTGGGTCCTACCCCTTTATAGTTTAAGAAAAATGGATGCAACAAAGCTTGAGGATTCTTTGCTGATAGTTCTTTGGGAGTAGTGATTTAACCCTGTGTTTTTTCAATAGCTACAGACTGCTTTATTTCTTGTCTGTGTTTTATTCCAGCTCAGGACGGACCATCCGTGAATAATCTGCTTCATCTGAGTGAGTTTCATTCCTTTGTTCAAGCCTGGATGGAAGTCATATGATCTGCACATCCTGGAACGGGTTTAGTGAGCCCTTCAGTGCTGTTTGCAGTGGTGGCAGTAACCAGGCGTTCTGAGGGGTGTGGCAGAGATTTATGTGCTGCGCCCAAGACCTATTTATTCACTTTTGAAACTTCCTTATACCTAAAACAGCCTGTATCAGTGCAGCAAATCACATTTTCTAGCACCGACAAGGGATTAGACCTTACGCTACTTTAAAATTGGAGTTTATAATCTGAAAATGAATATAAAAAGTTAACTGTATATTATGCTTATGTGTTTTTATTGCACCTATGGTCTAGTCTAGGTGAATAGGATTGTGAAACAGCCGTTTTGCAGGTAGACCAGTAGAATTTCAAAATTTGTTCTAGTAGTGTTTTGGAATGTGTACTAGATGGCGCAATTGAATCACATTTATGTTTATTCTCAATCATTTCTCTGATGCAATTGACTATCTATCTATCTATCTATCTATCTATCTATCTATCTATCTATCTATCTATCTATCTAATGTATTTAAGAAAAATAGGGTTGAGTTACAGTTTTATAAATCATTGCTTTTGTATATCCCACAGATGTTGGGGATGTGACCTTCTCTCTCATTATGATCATGACTGTCCACCCCGTCCTGGTCCTGCTGCCCGTCCTTGGGCTCCTTGTGCTTCCATGTGCGCCCACGCATTTGAAGAATGGCTTCAAGATAGTGGTTAATAAGACTGTGGAGAGTCCAGGGGATTGTGACATTAAACTAGACTGTAAGTCTATTTCTAGGGCATCTGAGATATCCTTTTGATTTTTATACATTTATTATTTCTGAATAGATATTCTTCTGTTTTCATTCAAGTATTAACTGATAGCATGTTGGGATAAAAAATAATTGCAACTTTAGAAACCACCATTATTATCACGTTTTTTCATTTGCCAGAAATACGAGACATCTTTTTTTTTTTACTATTTATATTTTATTATTATATTAATAATTTATACTGGTATATTTATATTAGATATATTTGATATATTTTAATGTCAAGCTTTATTAACAAATAGAAACATGTAAAAACATATTTGGGTCAATGACATTTTTGTGTCCAAGTGCATTATTTCCTTTTAAAATAATTAATATTTAGATTATTTTTAATATTTAATATTTCATTATTTAAATATAAATGTATAAATTATTGACATATTTTACTTTATTCTATAAAACCTATTTAGTTTTAATATATTTAGTACATTTAAAGTACATTTAGTACACCCCCCTCTCAAATGTCAGGGTGGCACAACTGCAAACATGACTCTTTTATTATGAATATTTTATTATGACAAAGTAATAACCAGTAAACATGATAATGCATCATCCAGATGACCCCAACCAATCCTTGTGCGTGAGTGAAAAGGTCTGTAGATCTAATGCTAATGCTCTGATTCTAATTTCAAGTACGGGTAGGTTGGTACACTTTCCATGTCAGGTGGTACAACTGCATATATATACATATAACTATTTGGTTTTACAGTCTGACATAGAAACCTTTAAATGTTCTTTAACAACTGAAACTTGTTTAAACACATTGTTCGTGACTAAAAAATCATCTTCCTTTTTTTAAATGTCTATTACCCATTTATATAACCTAAAATACATAATAATATTACATGGATACATTTTTTCACACAGAACCTCAATGATGCAAGTTGTTTTGAGAACTTTACCATGGTGTCATATCTACATCAGCAGAATTTCCTAGAACAGTCAGCTAGAATTTCAATGTCAGAGAAAACAATTTTCACCCAAAAATAAACATTCAGTCACCAAACCTGTATGGCTTTCTTCTGTGGAACGCAAAAGAAAATATTTTAAAGAACTCTGGGAATCAAACAACATTGGACCTCATTGACTCTCATTGTATGGATCACTTTTAAAATATCTTCTTTTGTGTTCTGCAGACGTAAGTCAGTCATACATGTTTTGGAACAACATGAGAGAATTTACATTTTTGAGTGAACAATCCCTTTAAGTTTTCAAAATGATGCATGCGCATGATCAGCTAAGTTCTGTCTCAATAAGGCAAGTGACATTCCTGTGGCCATCCTTATTGTTGACCCGTGCAAATATATAAGACAGGCGGAAAATGTAAATGACAGATTTGTTTGATTCTTTTCCACTATTTCCAAGAGTTAAATCAGCCGGTTTTCTTTGTTTCTTTTCAGGGCTTGAGAATAAAATGCTTAAACGGGGTACCTGCAGAATATCATATTTTTCTTAAAGCAAAGCCACATGTTCTGTTTTGTCTTTTTATACATCACGTCTTTCCCTTGAAGAGCGTGCACTTTCAAAGAGGGCCATATGTTTTGCATTTAAGATGAAAGAGAGGCCTGGGCTGGCTGTTCTGCTTATGCGCCAGGCGCTGCTTCAGCGGGCCATACCCTTCTATGCTGTTTTTTTTTTTAAATCACTTTTCCTCTCCTCTTGCTTTGGCCACACACGTTGAACTTGACTATCCCTCCACCTCTGTAAACACGCAGACAGCCAAAATGACCCAGGGGCACGCTGGTTTTGTGTTTGTGGGTAGAGCGGCTGGCCCTGCCCCGCCCGATAACACTCACGTACACAGTCGGTATTGAGTTTCCGTCACGTTAACCGTTTGGAGATCGAAAGCAAGGTCAGAATCACCACCGCCATCTGGAAGTCTGAAATGTTTGGAATGATGGGGAGCTATAAATACATAAGCATTCCATTCCAGCTCAGGGAACGGTGTGTTTTTTCGACACGTCAAAGACCAAACATACTATGTAGCGACTGCAAAAGTCTTGACCGGTCCTCTACGATTCCACACCGGACTGCATTCGCCTTTGCTTTCATGCGTTTTCTGCTTTAAACAGCTGCAGAAGTGTTTAAAAGGGAAAAAAATGCACACGATGCAGCTGGCCTATCAATTTAGTGCGTCAACGCTGACCAAGAGATGATTCAACCGGCATTTTTCACCTCACCGAGGTTTATTATTGATTCACCTGGAGCTTTAAATGCTGGATGAGTGTCTGTTGGCTCGGTCCGAAAAGGGAAACGGGGGCATTTTGGAGCATTCTGCGGTGCCAGTGCAAGCAAATTCTTTCTAGCCCCGTTGGTCCTGCCGTGCTGCAGCCACCTGGTTAAGTAATCAGGGGAAGTGGGAATAAGGGAAAGAGTGGAGACGGATGTGGAGGTTGAGGTGTGCAGTACCTAACACACACATGGCTGTTGGGAGGGGATCAAAGAAAGGTGCGGCAAGGCCTGTTTTTCTTCCCAGACGTCGCTCGTTCCCGAAGACTGCAGAGCTCAGGATATGCAGTTTGACATCCAGTAATGAGCATACAGGGAATGTCTCTGTCCCAATGAAAACAACTGAGGTTAATGAGTCACAGATTGCACTGGTCATTTTATTTAACATTTTTAGAGCAGGCTATAAAATATATTTGGCCTTGACACTTAGTTTAGGTTATTTGTCCTCTTAAATTTGGATTATTGGTAGCACAAAGTGTCCTTTTTATTTATTTAATTGATCATATTGGAAATTGATTATGCCATTCTGGGAAGGTTCATATTGGTGTAATGTACTGTATGTTTCAGTTTTTCATCTCTTGTGCGTATATTGGCATATTATGCGTTTCATTCAGCTACTTTACCTCCTATTTTGGAAGGAATCAGACTGCTATTCAAACTGGTTACTCGTTAGCTTTTTTTGAATAATTTGTTCAGATTTTGTTAATAGTCAATTGTTTGTGAATTTTACTGCACTGGTGTTGTTTTTTAGCTCATCAATCAATTCAGTCTGTAAACTCGCATTCACAATTCTGGTATTATTTTATTTTTAATTTTTTTGCGCTGTAGCACAGATTCATTAACTCAGCAGTAACAATTCAGGAATCTTACATGGTTTTGAAGTCAATCGAAATTGACTGCAAACTAGCTTTATTTTAAGCGACAGCTTCTTTGAAGAGGAAGTCTTGTTGATTTGTTTGTTCTTAATTTTTCAGGTCCTGAAGGTGAAAACTGTTCGATGGCTATTTTTAATGAAGAACAATCTCTGTGTTATCTGATCAGCTGCCCAAATAATACCCAGAACTCTTCTTGTGGAAATGTCACGAAGATCAGCGAGCTGTTAGCGGAGACAGGTGCGACTACAAATGCTAATACCTTTACTTTGTTTTTTCTGCATTCATTTGTGTTATATATGTTTTTGCTTTCATCTTTTGCAAGTATTTGATTTTTCTTCAGTAACTTTACCTCTTATTTTGGAATGATTCGTTACACTGTTTTCTAAACAGAAAATTGTGAGTCTTTCTAATTGATTCATTAACAGAATTGACTTTTTTTTTTTCTTTTTTTTTAAAATAATTAATTTATGTGCTGGTTCTTTTTAAAGAATCTAAAACACCACAACCAATGTAGTCCAATTCACACACAAATTACTCTTTAGAGTATTGTGTTTTATGAATCAGACTACACTGGTTGCACTATATGTTTCAAAAAGAATGGCAAGAGTAATTTGTTTGTGAATCAGACTACACTGCTCCAACTCAACAGAATAAAGTTTTCTTACGATTACCTCATCACATTTGATCTCGTCTCATTCAGAATATCAGCCATGTCAACCGTTTACCAACTCAAACTTTGTTTTTGCAGAGTCTGACAATGTGGACAATAATTCGACGCTTCTCCAAGGGTCTTCTGGCACCAACTCTTCCCAATCTTCTCCAGACGGTTCTTCATCTAATACCACACTACCATCGGCCTCTGAAGCTAACGTCTCCATCTCCACGACTTCCACTATTACAAAACCGACCACTTTACAAAACGACTTGACAACTAAAGTGACTACCAACCTGCTGACAAATTCAACAGAGAAGTCCACCACAGCTGATGCAGTGCCAAAACCAGCGATCATAGCAGCCATTCCAACAACACCAGCCATGACATCTACCACCACAACTACACCCAAACCAACCACAACCAGCCCTAAACCCTCTTCAGCAACTACCAGCACAACAACCACCACAACAGTTGCACAAACCATAATTCCAAAACACCCTTCACCTTCACCATCAGGGACCAAATCGTCTGTCAACATCTCACCATTAGTGCCTACAAAACCTTCATCCAATTCTTCCTCTAAACCAGTACAAACTTCTCCCATTCCAACATCCTCAGATGAGAAGCCAATGCCAACCACGCCAAAAACCTCAATGAGCCCCTCAGTAGTGGCATCCAAACTGCCGAAGGACATTCCCAAAAGGGACCAAGCCATTGTTAAGGTGGCCGGAGACTCTTTGACCAGCCACCTGTTGAACACAAGCTCTCTGCTGGCCGTTCTTCTGTTTGGCCTCCTCTTTTTCGTGGTCACGGTGGCGCTGTTTCTCAAACAAGCGTACGAGAGCTACAAGCGAAAGGACTACACTCAGGTCGACTATCTCATCAATGGAATGTACTCCGATTCGGGGGTCTGACCGGTATTTTGTGGTTTACATTTCAGTGTATTTCCGTTTGGTAGCAGATTGACTTTGGTTTGAGGCCCCTTGGTAGCACTCGCTCACATTTCAAACGCTCGAAAGCCCTGTACGACTTCTAGCTATGGGAATCTAGCTGGTGCTCGAGTGAGTTGGTGTGACGTATATCTTTTGTTTCTATGCAGATTTAGCTTCCACATAATTCTTGGCACACGGGGCTGAAGCCTTAGTATTAACTTAGCCCTCAACCTTCATTCAACGAACATTATAAGGGATTCATAGTGCAATATTTGGATATGTTTTGTCTAATCTGTCATGTTCAGTGTTTCATCTGCAGCTGATGAGTTGGCTGCAATAATTGCCTTTTTATGTGTGTCGGAACGGTTCAGGAACATTTAAAGAATTATGAATGCCCTTTTCTTTTTTCTTTTCTTTTGTATGTGAGAGTAAGGAATAAATGCCAAACCAGGAATTGTGGCACAGAAGCACATTATTGTAAAGCCAAGGGAATAACTCAGCCATTGTTTATTTAGTGTCTGGAACAAAGAACAGATGATGATCGTGTTAGTTGGGGATCAGAGGATGGTATGAAGTATGATAGTTTGAAATGTGCCAAATTGATTTTGTAAGTCTTAATAGCTGCACTGTTAAAAAGATGTTTAATAAAGAAAACTTACTTTGCACTCTGTCTTTTTTATTATGTGAAATCTCTGTGATCCATGTATAGCTGAAATCTGTGCACTAGTTTCCACACACACAAAAAAAAAGAACTTCCATCATCATGGCGCTTCTATGTATTTCCCTCCACTTAATATATTAAAGAGATAAAATTTAAATGGTCACCATTTGAGCAGCACATTAACACATGACAGGGCTCTTAATAAAAAAGGAAACTAAAATGAAACATTTAGACTAACTGTAGGCTACAGCCTTGTAGGCCTATGCTAAAAAACAAACAACATATTGGTAAAAAAAAAAAATAGAACACTATTATTAGTAGATTGCATGTTGGTAATATGTCTCTTTAGTTACACGTTGTCGTGAACAACGTATACAGTATCACATATATAACGATTCCCGGGTCATTTTGAATCGGACACAACCGACAAATGACTCGGTTCAGTGTAGAATCAGGTATGAACTCAGTAACAACCCTAACAACGCTTAAATGATTCGCAGACTTCGTGCATCTGATTCAAGCTGATTTCGGGGCTGTTTTGTGAATCTTTTTTTTTTTTGTTTTTTTTTTACTTTACTCATTCATAAGAGTCATTTGGTCTTGAATCAGACATCACAGCTCACATTTTGTTATTTGTCACGCTATATTACGAAATCGCAAATGCCGCACACGAAGTTTTCCCCATTACATTTTAAATCATTATCCACTTTTTTTATTGTATTTTTGACCATTCGCAGAACTATTTTGGCTAACTTGCTGTCAATAAAAACAATCCTCTAAGCACTGTTTAAAGGGATATTTAATCCAAAATCCGGTCATCATTTACTCACCCTCAAGTTGTTCCAAACCTGAAGCAATTTATTTATTCTGCTGAACCCAAAAGAAGATATTTTGAAGTAGAGTAAGTTCAAGGGGTCTCCTCGCTTTTGGAGCCAGTGTGCCCCGAATTTCCCATGGTTTCAAAGTGTTTTATGAGTAGACTACATATATCATTCAGCCTTTGGAGTAAACAGGATGCCACACATAAACAAGCCACATCTGTCAGCCAATAATTGCACCTTGGATATGTGCGATGCACATTGTCTAATTTTAAAGGTCTGGAAGTTTAATTGGCAAGGAAGAAAATAACGAGTTGAAAGGAAGGTGGGCTGACACCTTTACAACAAGCTCACCAGGGGACGGTTTTGTTTTGGGGGGGAAGCACAACAGCAGTTCCTTGAAATGTGGATTTTATTAGAGAAGCACGGGATGGAGCATGGAGTCCGTTGTTATCTTCTCCTAGCGGTTGTGTGACTAGTTGCTGACCTGATCTGGCCTTAAAAACCATTTTTTCACAACCTATGATTACCACATTTCTTGTCGAGAGCTGCATTTTCGTAATTCTCAAAGGAATCGTCTCAGGCCTCAAAATTTCCCAATCTCTCGCTTTCTAAATCCTAAATTTTTACATCATGCCAAAAGAGAAACAATACTGATGAATTTCCAATAAAAATGTTAACCTCGCTCTCCAAACAAAACAGTGGGCCTCTCATTGTTTTGATGGTTTGGTATTGATACTCCGCTATTAGCCGTTTATTTGCTACAACTTTCAGCACAATATTGCTGTTTTCCATGGTTGTGTAACTAAGTGGCAGACACATAGCCTATTTCAGCGCGGCTTCAGGCCGACTATGAAATCCTGACTATGAGTTTCCAATGAAAAGTATAGGTAGCAAGCAACAGGGTTAGTGTAAAGCACTTTGACATCATGCCTCTATAAACCCTTTGTTTTAAGAGGACTTGTTCCAGATGGCATCTGTTACGTGCAAAATATGTCTTGCATTAAGTCTTGAATGCATTAATGCAAGGTCTAATATTCAAAAGTAACAACGGGCAGTGGAGAAAGTGATTTTTTATTTACGCGCAGTGCTCGGCGGATCAAAGAGAATGCCGAGAGCTATTGCACAGGTGACTGTAAAGGCAGGTTTCATTACAGCATATTTCTCTAGGCCCGGGAATTACTGCCTGCTTCGCTCACACGCACTACCGCGCACATATGCTTTCACTTTGGATTTGGAGTCGGTTGCAGAACTTTACCATTGAACCCACAGAGGGCTTTCAGTCTGCCAGGGGTTCAGTTTGATCCTTGATGTTTACAGCACCTCAGGAATCATGAAAGAGGCCGAAATAAATTTGCATCATTGTATTTTACCTTTTTATAAAATGAGCTTTCAAATGAGCATAAAGAAACATAACAGGCTAGCAACTAAAAGGAGAAGGCTGTGCCGCAAGCTTGGCATGTTTAAGCTGCTGTTTTCTAAAGTACAGAGAAGAATTGATGTGTCACTCACTTACAAAGCATGTTTTATGCATTTTAAAACTTGCATCTCTTCCTGTAGCACAGCAAAATGAGATCTCTTTAACATCTCAATTGTTTCTCAGATTGTTCTACGGAGAAAACGACTCCAGGCACTAATCTCACATTTGTCTCCTAATGTTTCAGAACTCATGTTTTAAAATCTGCAATCAAAGAACTCAAATATGTCTCATCAACTTCTACCAAATTCTAGATACTTCTATACAGAATAATACAAATCATTCAGGGAAATAAAAAGAGACTAAAATGAGTCAATTGCTAATATACCAGAAGAGCCATACGCTATATGGACTCATTTGGGTCTCTTTTTATTTCTCTAAAAGATTTTTTATAATTCATCAAACATTGATGTTCCTTCAACTAAAAATCCCCTGAGATACCAGAAGATCTATGAGATCAGGGTATGCAATGCAGGTCTAACATCACTTCCCTTCCACTGAAATGACACAACATTACAATATTTCCCGCTTTTTAAAACAACAACATAAAAACAGAAATGAATTAGTCATGTCATGTCCCTGACTTTGCCCCAAAGCTTAATGAAGGCTATACCATAGTGGACCTATAGTGGGCCCCCTTCATCAGGGCCCCGAACAAGAGATCCCATTGTCCTTCCCTGTTGACAACCTTGGCTATAGTGTGTATATATAGATTGTCCTATGATTTAAAACATCACAATTAGTCATTGTACGTCTTTATTATTAAATACAACTAATAAAAAGTCAAATGCACTGATTTAAAGTCAGCGTGCTTTCTTGAAGACTTTACACTATTTTGAATAGGCCTACATCAGAATTGAGTTTTATAATTCTTCTGTTCTGCTCTTTTTACATTAAAGCTTCTGGATTTATTTCTGAAAGTCTATTTCTGTTTAGACAAACCTAAAAAAAACCAGACTTTTAGATCATTATTTCACAGTGTGGATGTTTGTTGACTATATTTTTAACTGTATATATGTCAATAAATCATAATGTTAATATGCCAGCCTATTTGAGTGATTAAAATCTGTTTGTTACTGTTTGTACTGATAACTTATTTGGACACCCACATGATAACATAACGAAAGATCACTGTGATACACACACAAACATAAAACACCATCATGGTAACACACGACATCATAATAAAGCAATAAACATAACCTGAAAAACCGAATGCAACATAAAAAACTCCAATGGAAAAAATAAGAAACTGTTTTTTAAAGCATAATATTTTACTCTAATATACAATACCGATCAAAAGTTTGGAAACATAACTATTTTTAAAGTTTTTTGAAAGAAGTCTCTTATTCTCATTAAGCCTGCATTTACTTGATCAAAAATACAGAAAAAAAACAGTAATATTGTTAAATGGTATTACAATTTAAAATAATGATTTTCTATTTTAATACACTTTAAAATGTAATTTATTTCATGATGCAAAGCTGAATTTTCATCAGCCATTACTCGTCTTCAGTGTCACATGATCCTTCAGAAATCATTCTGATATTGCTGATTTATTATCAGTGTTGGAAACAGTTGTGCTGCTTATTTTTTTTATAACATGTGATACTTTTATAATATTAAGCAGCACAACGTTTCCAACATTGATAATATGTCAGCATTTCTGAAGGATCAATGAAACCTGAAGCAATGATGCCGAAAATTCAGCTTTGCATCACATAAATAAATTATATTTTAAAGTAGGCCTATATAAAATAAAATAAAACATTTTCTTTCATTTATTTTAAATTGTAGGCCTAATAATATTTCACAATATTATAATATAATATTTTTCTGTATTTTTGATTAAAACAAATGTAGCCTATGAGTATAAGATACTGCTTTCAAAGACATCAAAAAAGTAATGTTTCCAAACTTTTGAAACGACTATACATTTATCTTTACACTTATCCATTTTACTGTAGTATTTGACTTTTTTCTAAATTACTATCAGTTTACAGTTCTTCTATTATTCTGGCGAGGCGAACGCGCCACAGCGCAGCACAATCCCACTTGATGACGTCGATCAGTTTCCGCTGTCAGTCATTCCCCTCCTCGTGCCTCCTCTACTATCGCTAGAAGAGTCGCTCGGGCGAAAAAAAGTCCGACTCATCGACCTACGGACTACAAACTTTCTCCTAACACCAATACCTCGAAGAAATGGAGCTGGGATTATGGAATTAAAGCCCGGAGCGCTTGCGATGGAGATTTTATTGCTGGAACTGCTGCTTTGTTGTAGTCTGACGGTGATTCGTGGTGAGTAAAATAGTTTTTGTTAAGTTTTTTTCCTACGGCTCTGAGGTGTTGAAGTCATTATATCACCGAGAACAATGTGATACAAAGTAAAACGCACGAGCGCGAAACAAACTAGGGCACGGTTGGTCTCGTGCAGGTTTTTGCCTATTTTGTTTTGTCTCGCACGAGCGTGTATTTTACAGAAGATGTGTAGCAGTAATAGTGCAACAATAGTTTGAGAAGTAACTTTAGTGGGTTAAGTCTGGGAAAGTTGAACTGATTTGATCTAAACTATAGTCTGCGGCGGGTCTGTTAACCCAGATGTGCACTTCTGGAAGTTGAGTCGAAGCTTTAAAACCAAAATCCACATTTTGGGATGTGTGGGATGTGAGTATTTGACATGTTTGATCGGAGTTTTTTTAGCTCCCAGCACGAGTAAACTGCTCTGGTTGTGTGTTATGGAGGCCTCGGTGGTGTCGGATGTCAAACAGCGATAAAACAGTGTAAAGTTGTAAAAAGGGCTTTTAAATGTTTTTAAAAGTATGTTTTTTTACCTGACCTTCATCTGAATACTAGTATTGGATATTTAGCGGATAAACTAAGGTTACAGTTTCAACGGAAACACTGCTGAAGTTCAAGAGTAAAAAAGAAAGACTCTCAGCAAGCCCAGATACCTCCAATATAAAGAGCCAACACATTTTTAATAAATTCATAACCTTAATTAACATTACTTGTGCACAACAGGTAATTCGTTTGAAAGTTAATTAGTTAGGATAAGGTCTAAATGGGTAGCCTAGTTGGTGTGTCCATAATTTTTTTAGTTGAACGTATATAAATTTTATGTCTAGTCTACATTTCAATTTTTTTTGTTTTGTTTACTTAACTAGATCGTTTAAAATGTACCTGCAGGGTAATACATGAATTTTTAGAAGTAGCCTACAGTCTTTAAATTCTTAAGCTGTATGAATAGTAATTATACACTACACTGTAAACAATTATGTGATCAATAAGTTAGGAAAATAAATGATTTTACATTGCATTAACTCATCAAAATAAGTTATACAGTTTTTAACCTTTTAGTTGAAGTTATACAAGAATCAACTTCTTTTTTATGTCAGTTTAATGTCATTTAAGTTGAAATCACTTCAAGTTGACTGTACTTAAATCTGGCAGCAACTTTTTTTCAGTGTAAAAGAATAGGCTAAGCAAAATAGTTTTTGGTGAAGTATATCACATAATGTCAACTCCCTATTTAGGCTATTGGAACAAAAACTATTAATTAAATGTCTATTTTAAAAAAAACCTGGACACGTATGATTAATATCAGATAGTTTCATAATGTTATTGAGCAGCATTGCTGAAAACTTTGCTGTTAAAGTTGCTGGTGAGAAATGGGCGTTCAAACAGGCCTGTGCTTAAATATTTATAGTTTTAGCACCATGTACTCATTATTGGTTTGCTGGGATGTTTATATTCACCCCTAGCAAGAGCGAGATATTGAACTCTGGTTTGGTTTTATTTCTGGGGGAAGCAAGCAGAACCGTGTGAATATTTTAATTCAGATTCATTGAGTCATTATAGGCAATGCAACAACTCGTCTATATTGTATTCAAACTTTCTTAACATTTACCAGCCACTACACATAGACCTTTTATATTAGACAGACTAGTCTACTAAACCATTCCAACAAACTTATTTGCTTAAATAATGGTTAAGATGATCAGTTAATATACATTGGAATAGTTAGAAATGCTTTTATTTATATATTGTAAGATATATTCAGATTTGAATGTAGGCTATATGAACATTTGAGCAAAAGTGTTTGCGAAAGACTTATTAAATGTTATAATATAGCGTTACCAAGTTGTCAAAACAACATGAATCTAGTCCATTTCAATCCTATAAAAAAGTAAAGATAAAAAGTTTTTACAACCTAATTCTATTGGAAAACCTTTAAGTTCCACAAAGAACAATTTGCTTACATTTTCTCCATTGTACTATAAGAAAACCATTTATATAAGTGTGCTTTAAAGGGATGGTTCACCCAAAAATGAAAAATTTGTCATCACTTACTCACCCTCAAGTTGTTCCAAACCTGTACGAGTTTCTTTCTTCTGTTGAACACAAAAGATATTTAAAAAAATGTTGGTAACCAAACAGTTGACGGCACCCATTGACTTCCATAGTATGAAAAAAATACTATGGAAGTCAATGGGTGCCGTCAATTGTCTGGTTACCAACATTCTTTAAACTATCTTCTTTAGTGTTCCACTGAAGAAAGAAACCCATACAGCTTTGTAACAAAATGAGGGTGAGTAAATGATGACATAATTTTTTTGTGTGAGCAAGCCTATCCCTTTAAAGAACCCATAAACCAAGATTATAATAAAAAGCTTGTAATATCAAGAATTTCCTGCTGCAAAGTACCATTGCAGAACCTTTAATTTTCAAGAGTGAGGGAAAAAACCTCCTTCTTCTTGGCCGAAATGTACCTAAATTATTGCAGGCTACTTTGTTTGTATTGTATGCAGCCGTTGTTGCATTATTACAAGCTATTATATTGCAATTATGAGAACAGACCGTCATGTTATTTGTTCTTTTAGAGTGTGGGCTCGGTGTTCTTAAATGTTTGGAGGAAAACCTGATTTATTCAGGTCACGTCAATAGCAAGTGGTTCATTTGTTGACATGTCACTATGTAAGGTAATGTCTGCCAGCAAGGATCACCAAATGTCAGAGCCTCATCTCTGTAGTTTTTCTAGTATAAATTCAGATTTAATAAGTAGTAGTTGTTGGATATCAGATGTTAAATGTATCCAAAGTTCGTTGGAGTTGCAGAAACTTGATGGCGTGTCTGATTAAAACACATGGACAAATACCAGTCCTTTGCTCTCTTTTATTTTAAGTTCAGGATGCTTAAGTCTTCACATGACATGAAGTTCAATAATTCACATGGAACTGATACACATGATGCCAATGGACAGTGGACAAACCCAGTATGTGATTTTTTTTGTGTGTATTGTATTCTAACATAAAAGCGTTTGAGGAAAATCTGTTGCATGTATTGCTAATTTAACATGCGTGAACAACAAAAGGCCTTGTTAAATTTTAGCATAACAATAACCACAAAACTTTTGATGCAGTTGTTAAGCTCCTACTGGCAATGCCAATCACTCCTTAAGCTAATTAAACAAGTTTGCATGTGAATAAAAGGACTTATGGGGGAACATGAAGGAAATGTAGCATCCAGTTCCTGTTTTTATCTTATTGTTATTTTTATGTAGTTTTTTTTATTTTTTATTTTGTAGACTATGTAAGATAGATGCATAGATTTTTAAAAATGCATTTTGAGGATATAAATATGACTTTAAGTGTGAATTATTTTATTAGGATCATAAGAAGGTGTCACAGAGTTCACCTTGGTTTTTTTAATTTTTTTAAACGCTTTGCATACTTGCATGTTTTCCTTAACGCAATCTCTTGGCTTTACTGTATGGTCTCTTGCTGATATGGGTTGGAGGAAGTGAGCGACCGGTTTTGATCGTAATCAGACAGATCAGGTAGGTAAAAGGAGATTGAGGACAGAGGAAGAAGACAGATGAGCAGCTTTTCATTTGAAGCTCTTTTACCCACTTTCCAGGACTCTTCACGTGTTCGTAAACCTCTAGCCTCCTTTGTGCTCCTCCCTTCTGTAGACGGTTAATTCTGGTGACAAGCTCAGACTCCTTCAGCTGTTTCTTTGTGCTGTTCATCTACAAAGGAGGAGCCCGGTGGGCCCAGGTGCTCTCAACTACCCCTCCCGGCACTACAAAAGTCAGAGAAGAGCGGAAGTTCCTAAGTCATATGGGTGCTTGGTTATAGAGTGGAAATGAGTTCTCCTAGGGACGTCTGTTTAGAGAGATTAGCGATCTTTACGCTGTGGCTGAAATTTATTGCTGGACTTTTGCTTGATTTTGTTTCTTCTAGTAAGCCGCAGTGTTTAAATGTCCATTGAAACGAGGCTCGCTTTGCTTTTGTCCTCTAGATCTCTGGCCCGTTGACTCTAAAACCATTACGAAGTTTCTGGAGTTCATCTGTTTTCCCTTTTCTTTCTCATAGTGCACCTCAGATGTGTACTGGGAGAAAGATTTGTGTCCACAGAAGTTTGAACTTGTAGAAACTCCTTAAACGAATCTTTGAGTGGCTTCTAATTATGGTATATCTGTCTAACTATCTGTCTAGATCTGTCTGTCTAAAATTAATTTTATTCTCCTATGGGTAACTTATCAGAATCATCAGAAACGATAAAAAAAAAAAAAAAAATCAATTGCCTTACAAATAAATAAAATTATGCCTAAATAATGCCATAGGGAAAAAAAATGTAATAGCCTCTGTGTGGACAATAATGAAATGATTTTAATTTAACCATATTGTTTATGAAAATGATGTGAGAAATAAAAGCTGAAGAGCTGAATGAACACCGGGAAACTGAAGTGCTTTGTTAGTGGATTAATTAACTTAACCAAACGCATCCTAATATGAGATTAACCGTATATTTATACAAAACAAACATATTACAATTATATCTGCACAAAAGTGAACTTGAACTAAGTTACGTGTTAGTCAGAATGCTCTTCAATGCACTGAAAGACAGCAACTAACTAACCTAAAGAATTCACAACGTTTTTATTACAATAGTGCTCTTTATAATGTTATGTAATATGACAGTCCCAATCATAGTTATTTAAGTGTGCATTGCAGCATGCGCTGAAGCTAAAGATGATCACCGGCATGCTTTACTACCGCATTCATTCTTAACTAAATGCTTCCTATATGAGATAGCCTAAATCAAATATGTATACACACAAAATCCCTAGTTATACTGTACCATTGAACAACCTTTATATTTTGTAATAAAGGTTAGTCACAAGGGCTGATAATCTAATTTTCTTTAAATAAAGCCTATCCTTCAACTAATGTGTTGGGATGAATAATCTCGTCTGTTTGGGTAGGAGATTGTGCTGGGGGGGGGGGGGGGTCGTG